CCTCTCTGGGAGCCTCGGCTCTCCCTCACCGCGCAGCAGCCCTCCCCATCCCTCCCTTGCGGACCCGCACATACTCCCGAGCCTCGACTCTCCCTCACCGTGCAGCAGCCCACCCCGCACATACCCCTGAGGCTTGGTTCTCCCTCTCCGCGGAGAGCCGAGGCTCCGTTCCCACAGCTCCGTTCCCACGGCCGACCCTTGTGCCCTCCGGCCGGGCCTGGCCCCACCTCTTCCCCTCCCTCCGGGGCTCCAGGGAACCGAGTTCTGTCTTCCTTTTGTTGGGTTGTTTAGCCGTTTCGGCAGTTGTAGCCAATGCTGGAATAGCTATTTTACCTGGTGCACTGTTCACCATTGCTGCTTGCTCTCCCCTTCTGCCGGCGGCACGGGAACGCGCATATGCAGTAGAACAGCCAATAGGAACACAGTGGTCTGAGCTGACCTTTGATTGGTTGATGCACATCGGCACGATACTGATTCTTTAGAGGCTGAACACAGAGGAACACAGAGGGTATTATAAAATTTTTACTCAATTATACCAAAACAATGTTGCCTACTGGAGCTTTAATTATAAAAGAGAAATTGAAAATTTGGAAGGATATTGTCAAAAATACAGATTGGAAGGGGATAGGAAACTACTGATTTGGCCTTCTCAGGCCTCCAAGTTCAGACCCGGACAGACAGATAACACATTCACAAGGTGGAGAGAAAAAGGAATCACAGCTATATGTACACTTGCAGAGGAGAACATTTTAGAAATGTTTGAAAAACTCAAAATAGAATTCAATTTAGAAAATGAGGATTGTTTTGATATTTTCAGCTAAGACACTTCTATAATATAGAAATTTAAAAAAAGCAGTCTCCAAATTGTCCAAAGAGTTTACAAAAATGTAATGGAAGGAGTACTTTGTATGTGAAATTGAATAAATCACCTACTGAGAAAATTACCTACCTACCATTTATTCAGTGGTAGGTAGAAGCTGCAGCTAGCAGCTCCCCATTTGCTCAGAACTGTGTTGTAAAATGGAGGGCAGCTCTTTACATACACCATGTGTGAAAAAGGGATTTGGGTGTGTGAACGTGTGTGTGTGTGTGTGTGTGTGTGTGTGTGTGTGTGTGTGATTGATAGTTCTTAGTCATAGAGTGTGGCAGCTGTGGAGGTCCTGTAAAGGTGTCTGTACATGAATCAGGGGAGAGCAGCCAGGCCAGGCCAGGCCAGCCAGATTGATGAGGGGCCAACGCATGGTTAAGTCTCATTTCATTTACAAGCAGCAGCTAACCCACACACTGCGTGTATGTGTGTCAGAGAGAGAGCGAGAAAGGCTTAGAGTGGGTCGAGTACCCCCCTACTGACCTGCTGGTTTAATAGAAAAGTAAAATCCCCTAGGCCATAGGTGCTTTAATGAATAATAGGCTGGTTGACATGGATTGATTGCTGTCCACTGGCAGGCTTGATCAGCAGAGCTTAAAAAGCTTCCTCAGAACACTGTTTCCCAGAAGGCTGTGGGAAAATCCACGGCTGGGAAAAGCCTGAAAGATTTGGCAGTATGCTCACATCCAGACAGAGTCAGGGGATCAGCATATATACCGAGGAGTTTTTCAACATTTCACTCAATCCTATTCACTCACAGCATCTGGAAATTTACCTTTTTTATGCACCATTCTGCCATCTGTCCTGATAAGGCTATCCCTCCAAACTAATTGATGTAGAACTCAGACTGGACTTCCTGCTTAATATCTCATCTTCTCACTGATTCCCGAAGCAACACGCCCCCAACCATCACAAACTGGAAGTGGCCTATGGTTGAAGGTGTTTGCTGTACAGTTCACAAAGTCTCACACTCTAGAATCAACACCCTGGACACTGGTCTTGACACTGTCAGAAGAAATGAAATGTTTTTTGGAACAAACAAATTTTGCAAACAGAGAATCTGTTTCAATATTATTTTGGCACATTTTATGTGTATTGGTAATGATTAGACTTAGCTATTTATGTATTCTCACAAATGATGAGTCCCACATTGATATTCTCACTGCTGTAGTTCAAATTTCAGCACAGTTCATTTTGTGATAGTATGCAGACATATTTACTGTTTTGCATCGTTTTGTTTCTTCATATTTCTTCAAAGATAGAGGTACTTTCATTGCAATATAAAGCCTGCATATTGTTGTTAAACTGTGTAGACATTAGCCTTTACAGCTGTGGCCAAGACCACAGGTAGCAGTTTTACAAACCTGAGTGAAGCAGATTGTCATATGGCCGAAAAGTACTGTTTAACAGGTTTCTGCCTAGCTCTGCCTCTCTCTCTCTCTGTCTCCCTCTCTCTCTCTCTCTCACACACACACACACACACACACACACACACAGCTGCTTGGTCTAGTGGTCTAGTCTTACTATTGAGTGGAGATGTGAGCCCCACGGCTCCCCTGCAATCTACTGACATTGATCTTAGAGGCAGATCAAACTCTGGCCAGACACTCCCAGGAATCCTGCTTTTCATTAACTGTGTGCATGGGTGTGTGTGTGTGTGTGTAGAGCAGTGTTGAAGCATGCATGTGGATGTGCATGACTGTGACAGGCACGTTGGAATTCTCAAGCATATGTAAATGTTTTACTGTGCACCCCGAACGAGTATGAGTGCAAATCTGCTCTCGGTAATATTTCTGTGGGGTAAGCATCCATGAGAGTGTGACAGAGCCTTTCTCTTTCTGCATGCGAGGGTGTGTGTCAGTGTGTCAGAGTGTGTGCACATATGTGTATGTGTGTGCATGGGTCTGTGCAAGTGTTCCTGAGTGGCACCACCAAACCTGATAGTGGATTGGACCAGAGAGACAGGCAGGCAATCGGACTCCATGTAGACGACCCAAAGCCAGCAGCATCTCCTTGTTTTATCAGTTAAAGGACAGTTGGACAGCTCCAGCACGGCCTCATGTAGCGCAGGATGGCCAGTACAGCTATAGCTTGTAATAAGAAAACAATCTGTCAGTGGAACAACTGAAAATTGCTTTAGAAGTTTTAAAATAACATCCATTTGTCTAAAAACATGTCCCTTTTCATATGATTATATTTTATATTAAAAATGATTCATCTCAGAATGTTCTGTAGTACACTGAGCAATTACAAAGGCTGTTTCATTGTTAACTTACCAGGTAGAGCTGAGGTTGCAGCAGACACAGAGGAGACAGTGGGCACAGTGGATGGGTCAGAGGATGGAGATGGACCTAAGATGACAAGCATGTCCCTTGTCATATGATTATATCTTATACTAGTATATCTTAATGAGATAATTTGACTAGAAATGAAATATATATGGTGGCAGTTTTTCCCTCACTTGATTCATTAGCCTTGGCTGAGCCTGAGGAGGTGGACTGCCCCTGGGCTGGGCCAGTGCCTCCTCCAAAATACTTTAACAGTGCTCCTGGGGAAGTTTCATATAACTTATGAGCATAATAGGGAGTTGATGTAAAAGGAATTACTAGCTTATTTACTCACATAAATTACTATGCTCTGCAGCAAACAGTTGCAAACAACATATCTCAAACTGTAAGTTAACTAAGTTAATTAATTAATGAAAAAAACACCTAGCAAACCTCACAGCGTCTGTAATTAATGTTAGTTGTTATTAAACATTTTCTATCAAATGTTGTTATCAAAAATGTTGTTTTAATGCCAAAAAACGACCCAGAATATATACACCGAGAATCAACTTATTCAAAGTAGGTTATTACACAAACACAAAAACGTTAGCTTGAATAGTAAACTATCTAACCTACCACTTAAAAGAGAAATTTCCCTAGTTTTGAACTAACGTTAGCTAGCTAATTTGCTACTACGTATTTGAAACAAAATATCAACAATATTTACAGACTTTACTAATTTGAGGAAACTTTTCAAATTCTCCTTGACACCAAACGTTACATTACCAAGACATGCAAACATACCTTTATCTTGTTGTTTTTTCTCCTCTTCCTCTTTCTTCCTTTTTCTTTCTTCTGCCCCTGAAGGGTATGTCCTTTTTTGTGACATTATTAGGCCTTCCACCTGCTCCTAGGACGCGTAGTGCGCACTGCATGGCTGGATGCACACCTTACTAGCGGAGCTCTGACATTTAGAGCAGAGAGGCAGTAGGAAACTACACTCTTCTAACATAATATTGTCTTTTTTTTTACATCAATGTACATTTGATAATATATGAATCATCATCACTCACACATGGAAAAAAATAATTTCTTTTTTTAAGTTAATTGGTTTTGGGGGCCCCCTAGTGGTCACGGGGCCCTAAGCAGATGCTTAGTTCGCTTATGCCTTGGGCCGGCTCTGGTCACAGTTCTGCTCCTCTGCTCACCTCATGCAGTACTTTTACATTTACCCCACCTCTGCTCCACTCTGACTGCCAGCCACACCCATCTCATCAAGGCAACTCTGCTCACCTGCTTTTAATCACTGACTGGCTTAGTATAAAGACTCCTGGTCTGCACACACTCACTGCCAGATTGTTCTTCAATCTCATGCAAGACATTCCAGCATTCCTTACCTGCCTGATCTCCTGTTATCAACCCTGCCTGCCTCTGACCCATCTACATTGTCTGCTTCCCGGTAAACTCACCAGCCTTCTGTCCTTGACCAAGAGTTCTGCCTCAGCGGCTCTCGTTTCCGTCTGTCTGTGGCTGTGTGGTGTTATCCTGCCTCTGTGTTTCACTATGAGTGCTCTCACCTACCTGTCTGCCCCTGAACCCAGAGACTGTGTGTGGGCTCTGAGCCCGAAGAATGAACTGTCGACTCAAGTTTTCTGTTTATTCTATGTTCAAATTAAAGTCATTACCAACTCCCACCAAGTGCTGCATTTGGGTTCAGTCACACCCATTACAGGCACTGCATGATGTAAGCTCAATACAGAAGCATCAGTAACATCAAACATAGACAGATGTCAACATCACATTAGACCAGGGCCCTGTTTTAGGAAGCAGGCTCAACAAACTCTGAGCCTAATCCCGATCTCCAGGTTGACTGAGCCTGAGCTGGGAAACTTTGAGTTTTCGGTTCCAGAACAGCTGATCACAATCAGCTCAATCAACTCTGAGTATATTCAGTCTGAGGCGCGCACGTTCATGGTGAGTTTATAAAGCCATCATCTTTTTTTTTTTTCAAATATTTTTTATTAATTTCCAAAAAAAAAAAAACAGAGGTCCAGCACAGAACAATACATAGTTCAGTATTCAAAATGCGCCCCCCCCAGAAAAAGCAAAAATAAAAAACATACAAAACCCCACAGAAAAATACCCTGAACATCCCCCACCCCCAGCCAATCGCCACCCCAGAGCGCTAAACTATCAGATTCAGAAGCTCAGGAGGCCCACTCCTGTTCCAGGAAAGAAAGCAGTGGTCGCCAGATCTTTTCAAATTGTTCAGTTCTATCCTTTATAGAATATCTTATCCTTTCCAGATGTAGGGTGTCTGTCAGCTCTGTCAGCCATCTTTTCAGTGTTGGCACCTCTTTCCCTTTCCAGCACATTAGAATCAGCTTCTTAGCCGTGGTCAGTCCATATGCCAGTAATTGTTGTTGTGTCACATTTAGAGATCTCAACACGTCTGAAATACCCAAGATTATTAGGACTGGATCAGGTTGTATCAGTACTTTAAGTATTTTTGAAAATAAATTTAAAATGTCAACCCAGAAGCCTTGCAATTTAGGACCCAAGATAAAACTGTGTAGCAGATCAGCTTCAGTAGAGTCGCATTTATCACATAAGGGCGAGATTTCAGGAAAAATGTTGTGTAATTTCACTTTTGAATAATGCATTCTATGTAGGACTTTGAATTGGATTAAGCGATGTCTAGCATTTAAAGAGCAGGTGTGGACATATTCTAAGCTGGAGTCCCAGGTGTTATCATTAATTTGTAGACCTAGTTCCCTCTCCCATTCAGATTTAATCTTAGTCATACTAGGGTGACAAAGACCTTGCAGTCTGTCATACAGGATGGATATTACGTGATCTGAACTTGTGCACAACTTTAAACACCCATCCAATTTATCATGGAGTGCATTTTGAAATCCAGGCAGGTGCTTCCTTACATAGTCCCTGATTTGGAAGTATCTAAAACGGTGAGCCCAGGGTAGGTTATATTTTTCCCGAAGCTTTTCAAAAGATACAAAAGTCCCTTCCACATAAAGGTCACCAATATTACCTATACCTAACTCTTTCCAGGCATTAAAAAAGCCATCCATGTTTGAGGGAGCGAACGATGGATTGGATACAATAGGTAATAAAAAAGAAACTTTCCTGAGGTTAAGGTGCCTTCCCATTTGTTTCCAGATCCTTATTGTATTGTGTATTATTGGATTGTGTCTATAACAACTTTTGTCAACCACCACAGGCGAAAGTATAACTGCACCGATTGAGTAGGGCAGACAATCCTCCCTCTCCATCTCCAACCAATCAGACGACACAAGAGTGTCATCCAGCCAGAAGGACACGAAGCGAAGGCAAGCCACCCAATAGTATGCTGTGAAGTTAGGCAAGGCGAGTCCACCGCTCGCTTTAGACTTACATAAATGTTCTTTTTTGATTCTGCGTGATTTGTAGTTCCAGATGAATGATAAGATTATTGAGTCTAATTTTTTGAAAAAGGTTTTGGTGAGAAATATTGGTATGTTCTGCAGGAGATAAAGAAGTTGGGGAAGGAAGACCATCTTGACAGCGTTCACTCGACCTAATAGGGAGATTGGTAGTGTTTTCCAGAGTTCTATACGGTTTTTGAGTTTATCAATTAAAGGAGTAAAATTTGCGTCGAACAGGGCTTCAAATTTTTTCGTAATTACAGTTCCTAGATAGGTGAATTTCTCAGCAGTTATTCTGAAAGGGAGCCGCTCCAACCATCTGTCATCTGTAAGTCGTATCGGCATAAGCTCACTTTTATCCCAATTGATTCTACACCCTGAGAAAGTTCCAAAAAGATTAATTACCTCCAAAATGTGCGGAATTGTGGTCTTGGGCTGGGTCCATCATCAATGGAGTGCAGATTACATGATTCTCAATGGCAGAAAGCATTAAAGGAAGAGCGACATACTTTATACCAGCGGAATTAGAGATGCTGATGACTGCGTATGCAAACTCATAGCATGTATTTAGACAGAAATCAAATATGTCAGCTGCAGCCAAGCAGCGTCAGGTAGCATGGGAAAAGATTGCAGAGCATTAATAGGTAATGTGAAGTGATAGTGTAATGTGATGCGTTAATGCGTGTCTAATCGACACAAAATACAGAAAAAAAATATACCTTAACACTGTTCATGTATTTTAATATAATTTGTGACATCCTCTAATTCAGCTGTAATCCAATGGGGCCAAAACGGACTTGGCAGCAACTCAAAATCAAGCACAAAAATATTGTGCAGACTGGTAAGAAATCTTACTCATACTTCACTTCAATCTTGCAATATTAGGCTGAGGTTGATAGAATTGTTGAATGTCACTGTAGCCAACAGGAAAAAGGCTGAGGCCCGAAAAACGGGTGGTGGGCCACCCCCAGCCCCTTTCACCCATGCAGAGGTGCTGGCACTGAGCTAGAATAGTGGGTGGCCTGTTGTTGAGGGCATCCCAGGGGGCAGCTCATCAGAGCCCGTCATCCCTCAGGACACCAGTGCCTATGTAAAGGGTATGTTTACCATTCATCCTCTTTGGCAGTACATAAGAAACTGTGGGTCCCTGTATCCACTCTGCACAACTTGTGATACAATTCTTAACTCTGATGCTGACATCTCACATTTGTCATATTGCAACAGTTTCTGCAGATGGAGCGATTACCCTCCTGGAGCCTGATGCCACTGCAGAGTTCCACATGGTTCCACATGGTTACATACAACCATGTGGAACTCTGCCACTGCAGAGTTCCACATGGTTGTATGTAACTGAATATTGCACAGAGTTTGTGTGATGGTTTTGAGTAGCCTGCATCTAACATTATTGTTCCTCTTTACCATAGGAAGATGATGAAGACACAGGGCTCTAGTTTCCCGGCACAGCGCAGGGTGGTGCAGGGTGGTGAACCCCGTGCAAAGCTAGTTTCGAGCAGCGCAACCCGAGGCGCGCTCAGTTTGGTAGTTTGGCAGACTGAGGTGCGCTGACATGGGTGTGGCGGCGCAGCAGGAGGAGGTGTCGACAGATCCAGCTTGGCGCAGTGACAGTTTCGTGCCAAAAGGCTTCGCCGAAGGTGTGCTAAAAGCTCGCCAGCTGAAACCAGGTCTACTGTCAGTGCAGGTGGAGCGCAGCTGGTGTAAGCCGAAGTTCGGCTGAACGGCGGACAGTGCGCACACATCACCAAAACCTCACAGGCAGGTTTCCAGAATATCAGGCACGTTAACGATGCAATAAATACCTAAAAAAACACTATTCAATGCAACTATCTGCAATCAGCACATAAATGTATCTCTATATCCACTGTCCCGTCACATCTGATGTCAGATCAAAGGGGATTGGCACTGTTTGGCATGTTTGGCACGCGTAATGGAAACCCAACCTGATTTGATTAACACAGCTGCAAACTAATGAGTTCACATCCCTCTCAGCCAACCACAAACAGCCACAGCATCAGATAGGGAGTATATATTCAGCATCTGTCATCTTAGAAAAGTCAAAAGAAAAGAAACAGAGTGAGACTGCAAGAGAGAAAGAGAGAGCATGCACGCACGAGAGAAACGCAACATTGATTTACAATTGTGGTGACCTCCTCCCAGGCTACCTTTGCGCAGGTGCGCTGCGCCCCCGCCTTGCCCGGTCTGCAAAACTAGAACCCACAGTGTCTGTTATCACTGCTGTGGGGGCTGATGGGCCTTCAGAGGTAAACTGTACATCTTCAATATCATGTATGACAATTTCTGATTGCTCTGCCCCACATGAAAACTTATATGGTCTTAAAACTACGGGCTCTAGTTTCACAGACCGGGCGAAAATCCGCCTGGCGGATTTTGCAAGTTTGGCACACCGTGTGCCTGGCGCAGCTACTCCTCTTTCCCACCTCCATCCCTCCTAACTGCGCAAGTCGGAAAGAGGGAGGAGAGAAGGCGTGGAGTGGGTTTTACACACATCACACCAATCAAATGTCCTCATCCATCTCCTCGCCCTTAAATTCCCCGCGCAAAGGCGTAATGAGAGTTTACTCAATTCACCATGGCAGAAGAGAGCAGCAGTGTCAGACGGCCAAACTTCTCCCAGGAGGAAACTGATGTTTTGGTCCGGGAGGTCCAAGCTGGCAGTGTCCGAATATACGGAACTGCGAGCAGACCTCCACGGGCTGATGATGCAAAGGTAGCCTGGGAGGAGGTCACAACAATTGTAAATCAATGTTGCGTTTCTCTCGTGCGCGCGCGCTCTCTCTTTCTCTCTCGCAGTCTCACTCTGTTTCTTTTCTTTTGACTTTTCTAAGATGACAGATGCTGAATATATACTCCCTATCTGATGCTGTGGCTGTTTGTGGCTGGATGAGAGGGATGTGAACTCATTAGTTTGCAGCTGTGTTAATTAAATCAGGTTGGGTTTCCACTACGCGTGCCAAATGTGCCAAACGGTGCCAATCCCCTTTGATCTGAAATCAGATGTGACGGGACAGTTGATACAGAGATACATTTACGTGCGACTGCAGATAGTTGCATTGAATAGTGTTTTTTTTTGGGTATTTATTGCGTTGTTAATGTGCCTGATATTCTGGAAACCTGCCTGTGAGGTTTTGGTGACGTGTGCGCACGTTCCGCCGGTCAGCCAAACTTCGGCTTACACTGGCTGCGGTCCGCCTGCGCTGACAGTAGACCTGGTTTCAGCTGGCGAGCTTTTAGCACACCTTCGGCGAAGCCTTTTGGCACGAAACTGTCACTGCGCCAAGCTGGATCTGTCGACACCTCCCCCTGCTGCGCCGCCACACCCATCTCAGCGCACCTCGGTCTGCCAAACTACCAAACTGAGCGCGCCTCGGGTTGCGCTGCCCTGCGCCACCCTGCGCTGTGCCACCCTGCGCCACCCTGCGCTGCGCCGGGAAACTAGAGCCCAGTGTGTTGCTGGTAACTATGACAAGGGGGAGGAGGAGGGCCCATCGACCTCCAGAGCACAGCTAAGCACAGTAAGCTGTCATTTGCATTGATCATTTCCTGTGTGTCCAAATTAAGATTAAGTATTGGACTGTGGAAATGTCTCAGACTCAATAGTGTCTGTTTTTTGTCTCTCCATAGCTACCTGTGAAGGAGCTGTACAGGGTTCACCTCCAGAGACAAATATCCATGTGTGACTTACAAATGGATCACATGAAACTGAAAATGACGAAAACCAAACTCAAAATCCAGATACTGGAGCACCAGTTAAAGGTGAGTTAGACATGAAGATCGATGATGTTACTTGCTGTTACTTTTACTGTTCAAAAATCAATGTAATATACAAATATATGGAATATTAAAGCATTTGTCTTTTTATTTGCAGGAAAGAACAATGAAAAATAAATCACACAAGAAAAAATATTTCTGTCCTCAGTGTATTTGAAAGTAAAGAATGCTTTAATAAACAAAAATTGACTGTCATCTGACAGGGGACTGGTGGGAGGTAACGAGGGGATAACTAAGAAAAATGGTTGCGAGACAACGCGTCTCGCACTGCTCATCTTGGGGGTGGAAGCGATGGTCTTCCTCTGGATCATGTGTCTGTACGGCAGGTTGTCGCTCTCCTCTCAATTAAGCAATATCACACGAGAGGGAGTGATGTTATACTCGTATATCGTCACGGCTGTGATTCAGTCGTAGGCATGAGGCCGCAGGCATGGTGCACCAGGCACTTACTTTTTATACACATTTATCTGCACATTTCCATTAATTGTGCAGCTGGTGAAATAAGTCTGGTGACTGCATGGTGGACTGTCGCTTCACAGGCACAGCCGACTCTGCCTTCTGATCTGACAGTATGTTGCTCCATTGTTTTCTGCTCTCCATGGATGGCTTCCAGTATCTTTTTAACGAGTTCTCATACCTGCAAGACAAAAGTTATATTTTAGGGCCCGACTCCTAATTAGAAGACTAACTTTACACATAGGCTACATTAAAACAACATCATACCTGTGCACACTCACTGTCATGTTCTCCCTCGCTTCAAGTCCCGCATCTGACAGCTTCTGTATGGCAGTCCCCCTAAGGCTGTGATTGGTGTAGATAGCTGTTGTTCCCGCCTCTTTACATATCTTCGGCATCATTCGGCATTGAGTTTATTCCCAGCGGAGCTTAAAGGCCAAAACACAAGTGCCGCCTCCAACACACACAAAAAGCGTCGCGCTGCGGGGCATCAACCAGATTTCTATTGCACACTCCAGTCCGCTAGGCTGGGAAATACAAAATAGCGCTTTTTCAAGGGTGGCGACGCTGGAAAAATAGGACAATAACGTAAAGTGCCGCGGCGCAGCACGTCGACACGCGTCAAGCCGCCGCCGGTGTGGGTTTGTAAATAGAAAATAATGGGGGCGGCTGTTTTGATGCGCGTCGTACGCCGCCGGTGTGTTTTGGCCTTTAGTGTACCAGATATTGTCTGTGTGAGCTGCTGTCATCCTGGGCATCAGATAAAGGGCATCTGCATCTGGTGGAAGTTTGTTTAAATACTTTTCCAGGGATGCAGTGCAACTGCTGACCTAACTGACACTAACTGTCAGTTTTGATTTGATTGTTGATTGCAATCAGCTGTGAGGCGGAGTGATACATACACAGTGAAATAACCGTGATGTTGTACTCCAATATCGTCATGGTTTTACTGTCTCTCAACCAATCAGATTGCAGGGCCGGAACTAACTGTTGTATAATATAGCAATATTAGCACGACACAGGCCACAATAATGTCACATGCCCTCTCTGGAGTGACCCTGAGCCTCCGCAGACACTGGAAGCGGGCCTTGAGTATGCCAATTGACATCTCAATTCTTGCTCTACTTCTGCAGTGAGCCAGGTTGAAACGTTGCTGTGGTCCAGGCTCAGGGTTAGGGTAAGGGGTCATCAGAGAGGGCAGGCAGGGGTACCCTCTGTCTCCAAGCAGGAGGCCATTAAACTGTCCTGTAATCATGAGTGGTAGAGGTACATGTTACAATTTTGACATTTTACTTCCACAATTATTGTAGGAGGGAGGATCAAAATTTAACTTACCCTGTGCAAATTTATTGCTCAGTGTAGACTCACAATAAATTTGTGAGTCATGGACAGAGCCTGGCCATTTGGCTTCAACATTTGTGAAAATGTTGGCTGCATCACATCACCTTAAGTGCAGAACGATAACCATCATTAGTTGCAGTACATCATGCAAAAGGAAACTTGCAGGGATTTCAAGAGATCGTATAGAGCAAGTCAAGTGTTTGTGGTTGCAGTCATTACTTAAAAAAAATAAAAAAAAAACATCTCTTCCAGGGAATCTCATAGATAAATGTGTTTGCTGGCTTATCAACCCACTGGAGAGACATGGGTACATTTGCCCAAATGTAAAAGAATAAAAAAAAGTTTTTACAGGACAAACGTATCTTAATCTCATACATGAGAATATAATGCAGATTTACTGTATTTTAATTCATGATCTGTTATTGTGCTTTTGCATGTAATTTATTAACTGAAATGTGAAATGTATCTGGAGCATGAGTCTGAAATAGCATTTTTTTAAATCATGAAGTGAAACTCTAGAGAGACGGTACATACTCCGCCTCGTCTTACCTGCACATTGATGCTGTGAATCGATTTACGATTCACATAGTCTCCTTCATTCTCAGATGGAGCTATGATGGGGATGTGAGTTCCATCAGTGCAACCGGTTACACCGGGGAATCCTTAAATACATTAAAAGTACTGGTAAATCATTGCATAACGTATCCACATAGACTTATTTCTTATTATCACTGACAAACCTGCAATTCTGTGGAATTCCTCTTTGATGATCTGTCCAGATTTATGCCCAGGGAAGACCACAAAAACGGGCAAAAGTCCTTTCAGAGCCAGCGTCACTTTCCTCACGGCCCGACAAATTGTTGCCTTACTTATATGTTCACTGTCCCCGATGTTATAAAGAAAACTGCTGTTGGCGTAAAATCGAAGGGCAATGCATAAAATTTGCTCTGACGATAAGGCAAATCCACAATGTGTTATAGGCTATTTGATATGTATGGGTGGAGCAGATTACGTGATTGAGTGTGAGGTGAAACGGTATCTTTCATAGTCATAGCGACTTTATTCAGGAAAGGACACACCATGTCTTTCCTTCCTGCTACACGCTCAGCTGGCAAGCTGGCTTTGTGAAACGGAAAACTCCAAGTTTCCCTCATCTCAGGCTCAACATACTTAGAGTTTTCACTAATCCTGCTTCCTGAAACAGGGCCCTGGGGCCTCATTTAAAAAAGAGTGCTTAGGATTCATACTAAAAGTTGACGTGCGCCCAAAAGCTGAAAATGGCGTGCGCCAAAAAATAATCTGATTTATAAAACCCCTCATGAATGCGATCTGCATATAAATAAGCCGGCATGCGAGTGTTCTCTCGTTGTGAGTCACGGCGACAGGTGTGAGAAACGAATCAAAAAACGGAATTTCTCCGAGACTGAGCTAGAGACCCTTTAACGGGAGGTGGAGGACTGAAGAAAGATTTTATTTGGTGGCCACAGCAGCAGGATCACTAATAAAAGAAAGCGAAAAAAGTGGCAACACAACGCTGCTGATGCTGTCAGCTGTGTCTGTGGGACTGCACGGACAGTGACAGAACAAAAAAAAAAGTGGTCTGATCTAAAGGTAGACCAAATATTTCTACTCCTTTACCAACATGTAGTTAATGTGTTGCTTTTAAATTTGAGGATGTTTGACATTGATGTGTGACATAAAGAATCACATTTATTAAAGGTGAAGGCAAAAAGGAGTATGTGCCAGTGCCATCTTGCGCAATTACGCATGAGGGTCACCGCAGTATTTATATGTTTATGGCAATTAGTCTGTTCAGACACCCGGCCTGAATTACAGCATGTGGTACCATGTGGTATCACTGTCCTAAAATACAACGTGTAATTTGAAATACAATTCAAAGATGAAAGTGTAATAGGCGAACATGTTTCTTCATGCCGGTTTTGTCATGAACAGCACATGTCTAAGTAGGGCTGATGAAATGAGTGAACGCTTAATGGCTGTATTTCGAGACATGATAAATGCACTGGAAATATTTAGCTAAATAAATAAATATATTCATGCAGTCGCGCGGTCCTCTCCCCCTCCTGCGCTCACAGAGTGGACAATGAGACGTTAGAGGCAGTGCGGATTAAATACATATTTAGAAAGAATTTCAATTCAGGATTTGAGTTGGATTTTACAGTGTTTTTATTAAACAATTATCACTCACTCCAAGCCCAAAATAAGGCTGCTGGATTTAATTTCAATGATAACGTGGATCTAAGGTGGATATAGCGTGACATTATATTTGTGTGAGACATCAATAAAAATCTGACTCCACTTCTCCACCTCGTCGTCTGCGTTGCCACTTCCCAGTGTCTCCAAAATGTGCGCACGCATGACTCAGAGTTTGCTTACAGGTGCGCACATTTTCCCGCCAATTTTATTTTTATAAATCACAACCTTTGCGTGGTAAGTGGTACGTAGTCGTACGCCACTTTCAAGCCCTGTTTTGTGCGTAAGCAAGCTTTATAAATGAGGCCCCAGGTCCTCAATCCTCAGAGTTAGCCAAGCTGTTTCTAGAGTAGTCCAGTGTGGCCAAACCAAACACAGGCTCTAGATAGGACCATTCAAGTTTTTAGATTTTTGCATCAACTTCTGTAGTTCTCCACCACACTTAGCAAGTTTCAGTTCTGCAACCTTGACACTAGATGCCACTAAATCCTACTCACTAGACCTTTTCAAAAGAATATATTGAGAATAGGAATATAATTTATTTAAATTTTTAATGTAATCAAATGTTGTTTTCAGAGCAGCAGCAGTAATGTTTGCAACATTAAATCATCATAAAAACTCAATATCTCACTGGAAATAAATCTAACATGTCAATAAAATAGATAATATTCCTGGCATTAAAGCACTGAGAAAGAATGAAGAACACGGACATCAGTCAGCATCAGTCATTCCCCTCGTCCTCCATCTCCCTGCCTCTTTTGGTACATATGTATGTATGTATGTGTGTGTGTATATATATATACAGTACAGGCCAAAAGTTTGGATACACCTTCTCATTCAATGCGTTTTCTTTATTTTCATGACTATTTACATTGTAGATTCTCACTGAAGGCATCAAAACTATGAATGAACACATGTGGAGTTATGTACTTAACAAAAAAAGGTGAAATAACTGAAAACATGTTTTATATTCT